GACACTCCAGAAAACGTTGCAAATGGAGAAATCGGGTAGAATTACGTCGATGAAGTTCGTACGAGATTGCAAACGCTTTTCTCCTTCGAAAAATCTCGAGGTTGCGGGATTCGATTCCGACGAATCGTAAATGCGCGTGGTAAGATGGTGGTCGATGGACCAAATGATTCGCAGTAGTACTGCCTCCTTTTTGGGCTCTCGCGAGATAAGCTTGCGGAAAGATCGCCGGGTGCATTTAACCGGGCGAGATCGCGCGGTATAAATCTTCCTTCGTCCGAGTTTCCCTGCCGTTTTCACTCCCGTCGTGGCTGCACTTTCGCCAGGATTCGGTGAAATCACGGTGCCAAATAGATCTTCCACCCTTCTCGCGAAACGAACAAATTAATTCCGTTGGAAAATCCTGTGGAACGAAATGTATCGATTCAATTGGTGATAGAGAGGGGGAGATTCATCCTTTGTGATACTCGTCAAAGTGTTTTGGGATTGCTTTGCTTTTTCCGGTTCGAATTACAACGACTGTATAGAATGTCGGATGGTAGAACAACGATACTCACATTTCTATCCGATCGCAGTAAGGTAAATAGATAAAAGATTACGGGGAGATTGAGGGGGTGGTCTTCAAGGGTGAATCGAGTAAACACCGGTAATCTCGGTGGGATTAGATGGTCGTTGGTCGTTAAGGACGGCGGCGTAATGAGGCGTGGCCCCCTTCATTAATAAAGTTTAAATTAACCGTTGGTGGTAGGGTGCAAAAAAAAAAAGGAGAAATTGTTAGCCAGTTAATTACCGGCGGGTGATAAAAGGCCAGTCGCGTCCAGCGAGATTGAGAAACTTCCCTTAACAATGGGGAGAATTTCATTTTCCCCCTCATTTTCCCCGGACGATCTTTCGGCCTTCCGGTGAATTGCCTCCTGCTAAGAACAGATCGAGGATCTTTCGAACTGCGTGAAACGATCCACGAGAATTGTCGATCGTCGAAGTCCAGGACCGAATACTCGATTATTCCTAAAACAGTCCATCTTCCAATTCGAAATGTACCAACATCGATGAAACGATCCATTGCACAATGACAGTTTCGACGTTGAGTTTCCACGTGGACGATAATTGAAATCGACAAATACAAGGTGTAATACGCGTGTCATCGAGGGGAGGGGAGATCAAAACTTGCCCCCGGCTGTCGGAACAGTAGAATTATATAACAAGGACAGGGTGTACACGATTAATTAACAAAGGAGACGAAAGGATAGGAATGCAACGTGCCGTCACAGGGCACAAAGGTCACCGAATAAAAATTTCTCACGAAGCATCGAAGCTAGTAAAACGGGGGTATACGGTTTCGGTTCTATTCCGAGACTTCATTAAACGGGAAAGGTAAACCGTTCAATCTACTCCACGTCAGCCTGGTACCCAAAGGGGTTGTTTTGATTTATCGCAAACATCCTACGGAAATCCCGTTCGCTTCCTACAGCGGATAGTCCAAGGACCCTGGCCTACATCCGCTGCTCCCCCGTCGCGAAACACTCTGTCAAGAGTGTGCAGAAGGATTCGAAACATCGGGCTGATGGTTGCATCGTATAGAGAGGACTCCATTCAATCTGCTAGGAGGGTACGTTTCGGATATGGGACGGGGGTGTGGATGCGTCTGGTTGCTCGAAGGAGGGTGACGTCAACCCCGATGATGCACACAAAACGGAGGAGGACAGGTTTCGGGGATGGTATTCAGAGAGGAAGAGAGAAAAAGGATTGTGTGCAACGCGAGCGTCACGCAGACGCATTGTCGCCCACCGATCGACCGAATGTCGGCCAATCAGCCGGCACGCGAATTTATCGCGGGGGTAAAAAGCACGGAACACATTGTTGGAAAGACGCCAGGTAACGCCACCGTTCCTCGCCACCGAACTAAATTGTATCCCTCTGTCCCTCTCTGACCATCGATAAATCCCAGTTTTTCCTATTCGCACTTTACGACCACGCAGCTCGAATCTGTTTTCCCACGGATGCTTAGGAATTTTTTCCTTCTTTTTTTTTTTATTGATCTGTAGAAATCACCGAGAGATTTCTTGACCGTCAGTGGGACACGTAGTGCGACGACTTTCGTTGATTACCGGCGCGGGACGCAGTCGCTGTTGCAACGACACCTGACTTATTCTTCATTTATGTATGTAAAGTGGTACCACAGAAGGGGTGTAAGAATAGATTCATCATCTTTTGGGAATGTGTGCTCCGAGGTATTTGCAGTATTGACACCTTAAGAAGCCTGGGATTTTAACCCACTTACAATAAATTTTCAAAAATATACTGCGGTATATATTTGGGGCATATCAAATCAAAATTTTCATAAAAATGTATTATTCTAATTTTTATTCACATATGAGGTATAAAACACCATTTTTATTGAGTGTGATATCGAAATTGCATCGTGGGCTCCAGAGTCCCCGAAGCATGTGACGGAAAATTACATTGTATGTTAGGTCTATTCTGTATCTCGTCTGTCGTGGTACCGAAAGAAGTCGATAATTGATTTTTTTTTTTCACGAGAGCAAACTGTTCGTTTAAGAAAAGCTTATTCGGTCCTGGAGCGTCCTTGATCGAGTCGTGTGCTTTCTCTCGAGAACGAGGGTGGCCCTCCGGTCCAGAAACAGCCAATCTTTCACACGTCGTCCCAGATATATGCGGCCAATACTTGCACTCGCGAATTGGAACGTTTTTGAAAGCTTCGCAAACGGGTCCCGTTGTTCTCGCCAACGTAACCGACCACCGCGGATCCGATGTCACGTCGTGATCGTAGAATTTCATCGGCCAACCCTCGGAAATTCTCCCCAGAATTTCACCCCGTAGCCTGATACACACACAGACTTTCAAATATTGGATCGCCAATTCCCCTGAAATCGGGGATTATTTTCCAGCTCTGTAAATATTGTTTCAGCTTAATCGGCAGGTTGTCCTAATAGATCTTCGTCAATGTTTGCGTACACGTTCCGACTGAACAGGGTTACGAGGAACCTTTAACTTGAGGGAAACTTGAGAATTATTCCAGACATTAAGAAAATTATTCCTTTTGTCGCGTTTGCAAGTTCCTCGAACAGAAAAAAAATAAATGCAAACCACCCAAGGCGCTTCAAAGTTTTCAGGGAAACAACGGACGTAAACAGAAATTAAATACAATCCCGGTCGAAGGCGAACGACATTTTTTCGAGTTTACTCGGACATCGAGATAAAAGTATAACGATGCACATCGAGGAACGGCCAATCGGGGTGCCGCTCCTTTTCTGGCCGTCCAGCCGAGCTAGAACATTCGGTGAGGTCGAATTAATCCCGGAGCCGGGGATTTAGCCAGCCAGATCCACCCCCTAGATCAGAGTTAATCCCGCCGTCTAACTGTCCCCTTCGTACCTACCCCTTTAATAACACCATTTTGTAAAGCGAACGCGAGCGATCTCCTACCAGGTGAACCACCCCCGTATCTTCAGGATATTCCCTTCGTTATTTACCTCTTGAAAAATGTACAACTCCATTATCTCGAAACGTGCCACTTTGAAGAAACTCTGTTAAAGATCAGCGCTCTCAGTGGCCACGAATAACGGGCTCGTTTCGAGTTGCAGTCTTCCAGCGAAAAATTCGTGGAGTCTCACGTACAAATAAAGGGTAAACAGAGCCCCCCCCCCAACCCCGTTGAAAGTATCCCTGAGAGCAAACAATCAGAAATGAGGAGCGGGTGAAGCTCAAACGGGGCGGGAAACAAGCGGACGCGATGAGTGGCGCATCATTATCGTTCGCCACCCTTCCATCCCTTGTTTAGTCCACCTCGCTTTTCTCCGTACTTTTGCCACTTATATGCGCCCGCTCGTCAGCTCCACCACCTCTTCTCTTTATTCTTTCTTTTTTCTTCTTCTTCTTCTTCTTCTCCACCCAAGGTGTCACCCTTGCTCTTTCTCCCACGCGATGTGTTGTTCCCATCCCTCGGTGTTATTCTTTCCCCCCCCCCCCCCAGGTCGCCCGTGCTCCCGTTTTCCGGTAGCGCGTAGAAGCTTAGAGATTGTTTTAATACTCCTTCCCGATGGGCAGAACGGTGACCCAGTTTTCAGCACCCAAGCGACAGTATAGACGCGAGACCTGAGCCACGCTTTCGGAAGTCAACCCCCAAGGCACCTTACGGAAACCTGTGTACCGTCTACGAAACGCTCCCTGGCTCGCTGTCACCTCAACCCCTCGCTAGAGAAAATTAATCGTTGTTTTCCACGCGCTTTTTTTAACCCTTTAAGTCTGTTTTATTTCATTTTCGAGACGTGCGCTTGTGTGCTTAATCGTTTTTAAGCTATGACAAGCATACTCGACAAAAGCAGAGTAAATGCATTTGCTTGAAAATTGAAATAAATTCTAATAAAATGATAAAATTACTCTTGACTTAAAATATTTTTATGTAAGCGATTTCTTTTATTTAGTCCTGAAATATTTTTAAATGAGTTAAAATTACGAATATGTTTTTCGTTTTACCTGAATTTTACTTTAAATAGCAAACGAAATTTTTGTTCGTTTAATGAGGGATGTACTCGACATAAACATCGAAAGGGTTAAAGGCTATCCATCGTGAGTTCACGTGCCCACGCGAAAATATTCGAAGAAATTCCACAGCTGGTGCTTGGTCTCCTCCGATTCGCCAACTCCAGCTCGAAATTTTTTTACCTGATCGCACACTTAACGATTTTCCTTCCGACTTGTCGCTCGCGTCAAGATTAAACCCCATCGATGAACTTCGAAAGTCGTTTACCGCTGAACTTTCTCCGTTGGAAAATGCAGTTCTTGAGAACGGGATATGATGCAGGCGAATCGCTCCGACGGCAACTACCCCTGTTTGAAGTTTCATACTAATATACGACCCTTTAGCGAGTAAACTGAGAAACTAGGTCTGGGTTATGCTCTTTTATTTTTTACTGCACAATTATCACTGATAAAAGTTGAACAATTTAAATTCAAATAAACTGCTGATACTGGAGAGCTTCTTAGAGGAAAGGAACGCTGTGCAAGATCTGTAAACATTTATTCGGTGAAAAAAAGCTTATGGCTCGTTTGTAATCATGATTTATTTACCTGTGGCTGATGTTTAACGTAACATTTGCACATCTGAAAGGCCTTGTCGCAGGCATCGGTCGCGGCTGGAAACAGATAACTCGGTTGAAACGTAAACGCGAAAGGTGACGTCGCTTAACGCATGCTGTATACACTCACACACAGATTTGCATTTATTAAACAAGTGTCTAGAGGAATCCTGCAAACTTCGCGGGATGTGTCTGAGCGCTCTCTGCACGTCGATCTCCGCGTTGTTGTTCAGAATTCCGTTCTTCACCATGAAGCACTTCACGTAGCATTTCAGTTTCTGATCGTTTTGCTCGAAATCTCCGGATTTCATTTTTTTCAGAGCGGCTGAAAAAACGAGTATAACGTTCGCCAATCTCTTTAATGTTACGACTAGAAAATCTTGACAGAGTATATACCCCATGAAACCTTTGTCTCTCTCCGACAGTCTCTCCTGATGTCAGTGTTCACAGGTTCCTGCAGCATAAACAGGTTCCATAGTAGAAGTTCGAAGGAAACTCCGTTAAAAAGAACTTTAATCGAGAAGCAGAATTTTCTACGACCACTCACCAGAAAAATTAGGGCACCTGCTAAGGCCACAAATACCAAACGATTGCAAAACATTTCGCAACACACTAAACTCTCAAGGGATCCGCTTGGTTTCTACTCAAATAAGTGGAAGAATTTTGAACGAACGATACCAACGGAGAACTTTATCAGCCCGAGCATCGATTGTTGTTCGAATAAAAGTCGAGATTAAATGAACAAGAACGATAGGTAAAGGCTCCTGGCGGTGTTTGGCGATCAATCAAGAGAGGAAATTCAAAGCAATCCGATAACGAATCGCTGCCGAGTCTCGTGCAATCAAGAGTACTTCCGTTTCACATGAAAATCGGTACTGTCTAAATAATTAGGATGGATGTGTACCACGGATCGAACGGAACAACAATTTGCCTCATCGTTTATGATCATATCGATGATTTCCACCCTATTTTCGGTGCTGAGCGAATTAAGAAAATCAGCGATTTCTAACGAGAGCGGCGGTCTTATCGATCCCGATCATTAATCATAGACCTGTCATGGGGCTAGCGTATCGTCGATAATCGGGATGTGCACTAAATATCGGATGCGGCCGCGTGTTGTGCCGGAAAGCTTCCGGTTCACCGGCACCGATGAAAGTGGAACGATTTTATGTTCGAGGGAAAAAGAAAGCCGAACAACAACGCGTAACATTTTCGAGAATAAAATCGAGATCTATGCTGTTACGTCCCGAAACACCGAAATTCTTCGAAAATTTCACGGGTTGTAAATCAGCTTCGCTGGTTTGCGACGGTGTAAAACAAGACGTTGACTTCACAAAGGTTCTCGTGAAGTCTACATAGTTAGGGTGGCAGGAATGATCGAATAGATCGGTTTTAGTAACAGCCTTTTACTAACACTTAAATTACAACCTGTTGATGTAAATATTCGTTTCTCGCAGAGAATGTGACGTGATCGAGAGTTTTAAATGACTAACGAATGTGACTGCTTGATGTTTAACACTAATCATACCAAGACTTAATATATACCTATTTCTACCATAGCGGGTCAAATGACCCGACTTTATGTTTCATGCTTGAATGTATGAAATATGGATGTTAGGAAGGAAATAAAAATATAAATTAAATTTATTATAATTAAACAAAATAGTATGTTGAGCATTTCTATTACAAAAGCAAAAAATAAAAATTTTTAATTCATAGTTCAACGCATTTTTTACATATAAGTGTTTCCATTGTACATTTTCCGCAAACATATTTTTTACATTTAGAGCAAATTTTGTTGGTTTTATTTTCTTTACAGTATCCTATTTGACATCTCATACGTTTATAAGCATCTGTAGTAGACTTAGGCAACGATCCTTTCGTATTTGTTTCTTGTTTTGGTTGTTCACGGGCTTCTCGAAAATCGGCGCCAAGTTCTTCTGCTAGCTTGAGTAAAAAATCTTGTCTCGAGATATTTTCTCCTGTCGTTTGCTTGTACAAAATCCAGGCATTTATGCCAGCTAAATCAAGGATATTGAAAAAAACTTGGAGAGGCCATCTGCAAGACTTAGATTTTGTAGTAAATTTCCTCGCCATTTGATCGGTCATGTCTACACCAAATTTGGTTTTATTGTAATATGAAACAGTTTCAGGTAAACGTTTATCATTGTTTTCTACTTTAACGAATTTATGTTTAGAACTAAGTAAAAGTACTTTTTTTGTTGGCTTACTTTTATAGATTGTAAGAGTACAATTATCTGTTGTAAAAATTTTCGATGAAAATCACACAACTTGTACTGTCTTGTTTGCTTCGACATTTTTTCTGGGTAAAAAATGATCTGTATTACTATAGCTATCAAAATAAAATATAAGCTAGGTACTTACCAAGACTTTCAATTTTTGCCACTTTTTCTTACACTAAAAAGCTATTTTCAATCTAAAATTTGATATTTTCTTGAAATTATTCTGAGCTATTTTCGTTGAACTACTTTACGCAACAGTCTTTGGAAGAATGTGCAACTTACTGACTACAAATATGACTAGATAATCTCATAAAACAAAAAAATTCTCTCCGGGTCAAATGACCCGTTGTGGTAGATATCGGTATACAACAAGGATTACTCAGAATAAACAAAACAAAACAAAAAAAAAAAACTTTTTATAACTGTACATTAATTACTTAGAAAAAGTCATGAAGTCAAATGTGCAAACGCAATAAAATTATACGTGCATTTTCAATGCAAAAGTTCAAAATGGGTCATTTGACCCGTTATGGTATGTTTAGTGTTAAAGTCGTATTAAAGCGCCGCGTCGCGCTTCTTCTGTATTTAAGGAAATTTCGCCAAACGCATTGACTAAATCTCGCTTTCCGATTGTTGGCACCCTGGAGGAGAAGGCATATTCTCAGATTTTTCCTGAGTGACGTGGTGGTGGAACCTCCCCTTTAGGGCGAAGCGGGTGCAAGCAAAATGTCGCGCACGTGGTCACGGTGTGACTTGACCGCGCCGAAATTTCGAGAGTCTCCCAACGGTAGGGTTTATGACTGTTTGTTCTGCGCTAGTGCGCAGCGGTAAGACCCGGTGCGTACGAGTCCCAGGTTTATTGCAAGCGGATTGCAGACCAAATGTTGGAGGTCTTTTGTACATCGTAAAGTTCAAATTAAAACGTGCTATGGGACAAAGAAGGTAAAATTGTAAAGCTAACGGAATATTTGAGGTCTATAGCTGTCGTTCCTGGTCGAAGACGGAACATATGCGATACATGTATTTGTTTGATATATCCTCGTAGAAATCTTTGGACTTTCATCGGTATAAATAAATTATTTTTAAAGCCTTAAATTCGCGGGATCAGCGACAATTGAAAACGTTCAGATCGTGGGACTGTTTACGGTTTTGAGGACCGCCAATGAGTGGCCCAAAAAGAAATATAAACGATGGGTCCAACAAAGAGAAATATGACCCTGTGGAAGCAGTCCGACCGAGTCCTTCGACGCGAGTGTTCGGTTCGAAACAGTATGTTTAACGATAAGAAGAACAAGACGCCGCTTATGATTCACTGATCTACAGATGGTTTGCGAAATCAAACTGCGATTTAGCACAGTGATCGCCGAATCACGATCAGTCCTCATTTAATTTCATTCACGACCGTGATTGCAATTTTTTTTATCTCGAGTGTATTGTTTGAGTATATTTCCACATAATTTTATACTGAATTATATTACTATTTGAGTTTGTAAAAATCAATAAGAAAAACAAGTAGTTCTAAACAAATGATTTGCCAGGTAATATGTAGATTATAATTTCTAATCATTAATTTATTCATTATTCTTCATTGTTCCTAATTATTTCTTCGCGTTATACGACGTAACTCGAATTTTTGTATTGATGTTAACATAAAAATCACCGAGATCTAGGACGAACGTGATCGAATCGATCGTGATTGTCAAATAGCTGTTCGCACTATCTCTGACTGAGACGAAGGAAACAAAGAAACTACGACGCTTCGTTATAACTTTTCAAAGAACCGCAATGCAATAAGAGAAGACATCGGTTATACAATTTATCTCGTAGACAATGTATCACCGTTTGACCATACTACGCTTCAGCCGAACCCATCCCCCCTCAGTCTTTCATGGGATTCCATCGTGTGTGCTTGTGGCCGCTGACAGTCATGGAGGTGAAACCGAACAGACGTCGGAACAAGCGTCGCAATTCGTCCAACAAAAGTGTACAGAGTCTTCAGGATCAAATGACACCGGTGAAAAAGAGGCGTAGAAGACGTCATGTGCAATTGTCGCCCGATAAGAAATTTCTTTGTAACGCTCGTCCATCGGCAATTCTTAAGAACGACGACATTGGAATTGACACAACATCGAATGACTATGGGGATACACCTGGTGCACGTGGATACGCTGAAAGGTCGAATGGTTTTATCAAGACAAGTGCAAAACCGATGATGGTCATGATGGTGCGATTCCCTGCGATTAACATTATTTCGAAGAAATCTAGAAGTTCGAGAAAGAAATTAGGATTGAAGCGTGAGTATCGATCTATTGCTAATTTTTCTTTCAAGGTGATACGTGTTCTGAATAAGCATATTGACTGTGTGACCACAGATCGTCCTTTTCTTAATTCCTGTTCTTGCGATAAACTTAAGGGGGCATAATGCAAAGAACGCAAAGGGAAACCGCAACCGTGATAATCGCGAGAATACTATTTTTGGACATTCTCGTGGTGGATTAGAGGCATGAAAACAAGACGTGATATACGAGGTGGTAGTAGTCGTTCATATCTCTCCGTCTTCGTTGCACCTGAACCTTTTTTGCGCATCGTTAGCCCGATTCCAGGAGAAGAGAGCGCACTCCGCTGGACTAGAGAGACTAGTGGCTTTCAAATCGACTCCCCGCGTGGGTTTACCATCTCGTGTGCGCAGTACTCTGCGCAATAAACAAGCCGCGCGTTCCGCGATGTAGAAAGGTGTGCGTTTGTCCGCGTTTAGTTCTAAGATTGTGGGAGGAAAATCCGCGTTGGTCAGAGATATTCCGTTTTTCTTCCCGGTCGTGGGTTGATGATACATTATCGTCCGGTATCGCGTGGCACCTTTTCTTCGGAAAAGCTTACGACGCGACCACAGAGTAACTCTGTGACGCGCGCTCTGAGAATTAGGTTATGTTGGCATTCAAGAAAAACAGCAGTGGCGCTGTGGGCTACGCGACACGAGTATAATTAAAATCAATGTAACACAGTGCAGTGTTTCGGCACAGAGGTTTTCAGGGTGCAGTTTTTCACCGTATTTGCTTGAACAAGAAATGTCGAACGGATTGACGATGTTGAATCATGACAAGGGCACCGCAGGAACAAGTAAGGAATTTGTGCATCGATTTCTTTAATGCAACGGGTACGCGGTATACGATCTCACTCTGAACGCTCTCGTGTCTTTCTCTCTCTTTTATTGTTTAGACTGCAAAGCGTCGACGGTCGGTCGTACCGCAAATGCGTCTCCCGCGAAGGGGTCGCACGAGGGACACCTAACAGGGGTGAGTTTCTGTTAATTACTTAGTTATTTATGGAACAGAAACCTGTTCTCTCGAGTACTATAGATTATAGCTTGTTATCCTCTACACAGATGGAGCAACCAAACACTCCGAGGCCTAATCTGAAGAGGCCTGGAGATTCGGAACCTGAAGGTCAGTGGCTGGTTGTACGATTCTTTCTAATGCTATCGAAGAACATTTAGTTGTTTCGCATGAGCATATTAAAATTCATTTTTTTGGTAGAAACAAGCAGAACACGGATCACCTTATAAGTCTTCCAGGTTCCAAGGTCTTTCAAGCTAAGGAGACTCTTGGGTTGAGCGACGAACAAATTGATCTCCATTTTTTTTTTCTATTTCATCAGGTGCCAGCAGTGCAAAGAAACGTCACAAAAATCCACAACCAAAGAACGCAGTATGCGCATTGAACGAATTGAAGACTGGAGCAGTGTACAAAGTAGTGGATCAGACCGGTCCCACTCACGCTCCGATATTTACAATCGCTGTACAGATAGACGGGCAGACCTACGAAGGGAAGGGTCGTACCAAAAAGATGGCGAAACACGCGGCCGCGGAACTTGCTTTGCGGAACATCGTACAGTTTAGAAACACTCCAGAGGTTCACCAGGCAATTAACACTTGCCAGCCTCTCGAGCCAGATTTTACGAGCGACGTCACTGAACGCGACAATCATCTGGTGAACGCTTTCAAAACACTAAACCAAGAGCCAAAGAGTGCAAATAAATTTTTAGATAAAGGTCCCGTGGCGCTTATTAACGAACTGTATCCCGGGGTCGCGTACAAATGCGTATCCGACAACGGCGAGAGTTACGCAAAATTCACGATATCTGTGACCATCGACGGGGAAACGTTCGAAGGGACCGGACCTAGCAAAAAGCTGGCCAAAGCTGCCGCTAGCAAGGCAGCTTTAGCCAAGCTGCGAAACGTGCACAGTTCCTCGTTCTGTATACCTCTTCCCGTACGCGTGTTGCCTAACTTCTCGAACAGCAGCCACTGGCAAGAGCAGATGCAATTACCGCAAATGTTGGCCGACAAAATCGGGAAAATGGTGAACCAGAAGTTCAGCGAGCTTATACAATCGAAGCCGCAACACGCTCGGCGCAAAGTTCTAGCGGGTATCGTCCAAACCACAGGTTCAGATGCTGAACTTATATGCGTGACAACCGGTGAGACAGAATTCTTCCTTACGTATTATCTCTAATACGAAGCTGCAAAATATAATTTTAAACGTTTTACTTCTTTCGCACGAAAGGTACCAAATGCGTATCTGGAGAACATTTGAGCGTCAGCGGTGGTGCTCTGAACGATTGCCACGCCGAGGTGGTAGCACGGAGATGTTTGTGCGAGTACTTGTACAAGCAGTTAGAATTGATTGCGGAAGATAGGGCTGCAGAGTCCATCTTGGAACCTACTAAGAACGGGTTTAAGCTGAAACAAGGCATTCGGTTTCATTTATATATAAATACCGCTCCCTGTGGCGACGCCAGAATCTTTTCCCCTCATGAAGAGAACGAGTCCGTGGATAAACATCCGAACCGAAGGGCTAGAGGTCAACTGAGGACCAAAATAGAATCCGGGGAAGGAACGATACCCGTCAAAAGCAGCGAGGGTATTCAGACGTGGGATGGCGTTCTCATGGTATGCATTGATTAGAAGAGACATTCTTCTCTGATATGTGTCTTTGGAGTAAAAACGCTTCCTTCGATTTATAGGGACAAAGACTGCTGACGATGTCGTGTTCGGACAAAATAGCTCGATGGAACGTACTTGGTGTGCAAGGTGCACTTCTAAGCCACTTCATCGAGCCAATTTACTTCCACAGCATCGTTTTAGGCAGTCTATTGAACCCGAGCCACATGTACAGAGCGGTCTGCGGACGTATCGAGAACACGATTCAAGGTCTTCCGCCGCCGTACAGACTTAACAAGCCGCTGATGAGCCTCATTACGTCTTCGGAAGTTAGGCAACCCGGGAAGGCGCCCAACTATAGTGTAAATTGGACGATCGGTACGTGTAAATTGGGACAGCTGGGAAAAGCCGTTTAGAACTTCGCCTGTAAATATTCCATGTATCCATCAGGTCAACCCGACGCTGAAGTGATAAACTGCACCACGGGAAAGGATGAATTGGGCAAGCCCTCGAGAATATCCAAACAGGGGCTGTTCAAACGATTTTACAACTTGCTGGGTAAACTCGATACTATAGAGGGCGCCGATAAGAATCAATGCCGGCACTACCTGGAGGCGAAGTCTTCGGTACAAAATTACTCGGTAAGTCTGGTTGATTTTTTTTCTTTTCATTAATCGTTCGATCACCACGAATCGTGACTCATCATTGTTCTGTATCAATTTTTCTGTGCAACAGCTTGCGAAGCATCAATTGAAGGAGGCTTTTGTAAAGGCACACCTTGGGAGTTGGGTTAAAAAACCCATCGAACAAGACATGTTCGAGGTCGATATCTGACTAAATCACAATAACGATAAAACCGCAAACGATGATACGGACATTCGGGTGACCGATTATGTAGTTCCTACTGCAAACTAGATCGCTCGTTCAGCGTGTTATGATATGGCAGAATGCGGCATCAGTAAAGCATAAATCGTAGGATCTCACGCGTGTCTCTCCTTTGACTTTGCGTTGTGTGGTGTGACACATATACATGTACACATGGTCACACACGGCGTATATACATCGTGTTCAGGAATGCATGTGGAAACTAGAAAACAATGGACGAAAAATGATAGAATGAAAGAGAGGACAGGCCTCTTTGCGGGCTACCAATATGCTTTTCGTCTTCAAGCCGTCGAAGGATCTTACGATTTGATAGTTGCTCAGTTTAAACGTAGGTTTTATCGAAAAAAGCGGCACGTTTCGATACTTCGAATTTTAATCTTACATCGTTTTAGCGTAACGAAAATTTCGACAGATTTTATAGAGTGGTAGTGGAACACGAAACGGGTTTCGTTCGCCATATAGAGATCAGGCGGAGGGAGATCGTACGTAACGAAACAATGAGAATTTTACGTTTTTCAGAACGTATATATCCGCGAACACACCTGTGTTCTTACGAAGCAAACGATTTAATGCACATATCCGTACCGTCAGTCTTCTCCATTTCCAAGAAACCACTCTTATCGCGGGTGATTTCAACGCGCGAAACGATTAAAAAAAAAAAAAAAGAAACCTTGGGGTATATAGTCACTTCGAGTTACATTCGCGGAACGCAGAAACGGTTAACTTGCCGAAAACGTTCGAGGAACATCCCGAGACATTACTGGTGCCTGCAGTATTTTTTCTTAGGCGTTAGAGGTATAATAAAAGTGATAATAACATGCATCACGTTACATCCCCGAAGGCTGTGACCGAGTATAGAGAATTGTCGACGTGCAATTAATTACGTACTTCGTTCCGGAAGTCGACGATACGATACAGGAATCGATTCCTTGTCGACGTGACAAAGATATTTTTTGAACTCCCTCTAATTACTTGCATAATAACCGAGACAAATGTGTACGCTCAATTGATCAGTTTTACATATTCCATTGATTTTTTACATTTTTTGTTTATTATTTTTATTTTATTTGTTTTTTTCGAGGGCGTGTGGTATTGTGTCACGTTGTATTTCCCCTTTTTTTTTGTATCGGAATCGTTGACGAAGGACCTCGACACTTCGATATGTTGTTACCACTGGGTTTTTTCATAGAGAACAAATGGGATATCGAATGTGTGACAGGGGGTGCAGTGCGGTCAGAGTGCTTGTATGGATGCATTAATACGAGTCAATAGGTAAAGTTAATAAGTACATTTACGGATTAATAGTTTAGAGTATCCTAAGATCATTGCCTCACTGTGCCAGTTATTATATAAAATTAATGCGATTCTGCCGTAGTGACACACTGCCCGGTGTCGGTCCAGTTTTGCGTGAGAAACTCTCAACGGTAGCTAATGTACGGAATCACAATTTCGTTGAACAAGTATTATTATACAACACACGTATTATATTATAATAATAGAAGCGATCACACTTCCGTCAGAAGTACCAATCGGGCAGCTCAATTTCACGGTATTCAGTTAGTACAAATCTCGGAACACCTCTCCAGTGTATCTTCTTTCTTTTCTTTCGGTTCTGTTCGAACTGTTTTCTTTCGATGTTTCTCGTCGATATCATTATTATACGTAGAACTAAAAGAGAAAGAAAAGAATGCGTGAAAACATTTGTGCCAATGGACGAAGGAAGGAATACCAAAGGAAAAAAAAAAAAAAAAAAAAAAAAAAAAAGAAGAAGAAACGTAGTAATGCCAATGAAAAAGATGCTGGATTTAACCGATGTCCACTTGTTTTTTTTTTTCCGGAGTCTAAAATGGGGTGGATGATGGTTTTTAGCGTTTATCGTTGCGTGTGTCTGGCATTCCACGCGATTCACTTTCTTTCCTTTACTTCGCCCCGGGGCCTTCAGTAAACGAAACAAATCAGTCTTGTAACGGACGAAGTCTATTTTTTGCCATGATCGCCACTTGCCGCTTGCTTCATGCATTTGCATATAACTCTATACAATTAACTTGAATCTCTAACGAACACATCGGAGTTACCGTATCTATGATATCTACCGACTTTTCCGCCGATAATGAACAACAAGAAGACATTCAAGGATCTCTCGATCGACAATTATATTATTCTCCGTTGTTACGGGTTCGTTTCAAGTAATCGCGTCGTTCAGACGCAAATAGGATGAATAAAGCTCGGGGAAAGAGGATAGTTCGCCCAGGTAACACACGCGTGATAGAGGCATAATATACAGGTCAGGCATAATATCAGAGGCATAATATACTATACTAGATCAGAGAGACGCATTATCGTTTTTTCACGACGTCGCTGAATCAATGATAAATTTAAAACAGAAAAGAGAAGGGAGTCAAGTCGGTATTTTACATTCTTAGGGTATATAGCGTTTTTATTCGAGTAGACAAATAAGAGGGCGCGGACTCGTGGTTCTCTTTCTCTCTCTTCCGTAATCTTCTCGTAATCTGTACGACCGTGTCCTCGTACACACAGACACACATATACATATACTTTACCACTCACACTCACACACTTTCTATATTACATATTATACTATACATCACGTACCTATACAGCTACACACCGATTACTGGTACCGAAATAGCGTAAAAATACCACATAATGGTCAGTGATCAAAACAATGGAGTGAGCATATATTTAGTCGTTAATTAAGGTACCGACGCTAGAAAACTAGTCATTTTTCGATTGTCCATAATTTCGATTTTGGTCCCCCTCTCCCCCACCTCCCCCCTTATCTTCTACCCAAGGACGTCACGCGGGGAAGGTATAGTACTAGAAGAACATCGAGCATTAAACACGAAAGATTCGTAGTCAGCTAGAATTTAAGCTTGACTAGTGCCTCTAGTTGTAAACTTTCTGTCCGAACAGAAATTTAAGTAAATGAAAATCGATAGAGGAAAGAATGACGAATAATAAAACCTTTATTTACCAAGCGTGTTATCTTGCCTCGGATCGTTCCCACCGTCTTCTAATCAATGACGACCACCAAACTCCTCCATATTTTCCTTGGGGCTCGAGTACTAGTCAACCTCTTCGTGAAATTGCACGCGTTGTTGCATCATTTTGCATGCGGAATAACGCTAATGAGGGGGGAAAGCGTAGTCTCCGATTCCAAGAATGAAATAATGTCGACAGTGCATGATTCGCAATTTCGCTTTCGCGCAGTGTAGCTATGTGTGCATGTAAATTTCTAGCGTTCTCCGCAGAAGCAGAACCGTCCCATCGATCCACGACCAGAGAGGGTACATTGATGATTTTTGCCTTTCTTCAGGATGAGGGAACAGGGAAATCCGAAACCGTGAATTTTCTTGAAACTGTATATTAATTACATCGGTTACCGTAATATTATTCTTCCTCTGATAATAATCTACTAATATTGCTATACCTATAGTACAGCTAATATAGTTATCACGCTTCGCACATGAATCCCTTGACACAGAGGCTGTTCCCGTAGAATTTATCGAACTCTTCGGATAAGGGAAACTCGGACGATTGAATTCGGCTGGAAACTAAGTTAGCTTCAGTCTTGTTGGAACATATTAAAAACAACGGATCGTACGTTTTAATCGCTCGACAGATCATTTTCGATACCCCTTCGGAAGTCGATCTCGTTCTCTGTATAGAGAACGAAAGTAACAATCGGTCCGGCTACCGACGATAAATACCTAGACGAGACGAAGCGACCACGTGCGAAGCAACACTATTTCCAATATTACAACGATCCCTTTTCTTTAACTTAAACTCTATATGATATGTATCGAGTTCTTGGAATATTTTCTGCCGTGTTGTACGCGTTTCTGTCTCTCTGAATGATCGAGGGTGATTATAAAACACGCGTCATCATAGGCAAAATAATTAATTGAGATCAAGTTAGATTTCGAGTCGTTGCATTTTTTTCTCCAATACCTGATCCTATACAGTATCGTTCGGTACTTATTACGATTCCACTTTTCTCTGTGATACATCCCCTGCTTCTTATGGTATCGTTTTCTATGAATATCACCGGCCAGAATATGAAAACAGTACTGTCCGCTAGAATTCTTGTTCTACACGTTAGGGAAGACTGAGTAAACGTGTTGTCGAAGCGTCGCCCGGTTGTCGAATAAAGTTTCGGAAACAAAAATCACACTGGTAATTTCATTCTATTTATTTTCGAGCACGCCTTTCACCGTGTCATTCACACACACACACACACACACACACAGACGATCTCAGAATTCTAAAGGCATAACTACAGGCTGAACTTCCTAGAAGCTTTCGGAATAGCGTTGGCTATCGATAGAAGCAGCCGGAGTAACAAAACGATCGAAAGTGTGTTATTCATAACAAAATGAATATCAAACGTTCTCCGAGCTTTTTACAGCGATCTAACACAGCTTACAATGATATATTTTATATGATACGTATTTCCAGGTTCGTAGCGCGGGCGCGTGCGTTTTCGTAAGGCAATGAGGGTTGATTAATTCGACGGTGCATATACAGGGTGTAACAGAAGTAGCATATTTTAGGAAAACAATATCTAAACATACATTTTCCTTTCCCAAGGGACAAACACATTTTCCTCCAAATAACTGGTTTCATTCAAGTGTTACACCCTGTACATGGGGGACAGCGCAGAGATCTACAATGGAAACGCAACTACGGTTATATATATTTTTTTTTATCATCGATACCCAAGTCCATACGGTTTCGGTGGAAGGTGTCCTCGAAAAACTGGTACTTCCCAAGGAGGTATGGATCGTGCAAGTTTCACGACAATCACCTCCACACGACGCACGTTCATTCCGACGCACACACACTTAACGAGTAATTCATGTAATCGGTACTTGTTCGTACGGGTTACGTAACAATAACGAGCTAAAGCACACTCGGACGCTGACGGCTCTCCTATGCCTTAGGTTTAGCTTTAACTTCGATATGATAGGTAGGTACAACGTTATTTATCTAGCTTGTGCCGTGGGAAAACGATGATTTCCCAGTTCGTTTGCTCCGATCCCTGGGAACACGGAAGCCGCGTCGGAAGGAATTTTTAGGCTGTCCTGGGCAAATCGAATCGACGTCGATTCCACTCGATCCGAATTCCCTGGATTCCAAATACATATTTAAACTGTTTTCTTTTTCTCCACTACGAAGTACAGCAAACCCCTGAAATCGGTTCATTTCGATTCGGATAAACAGTACAAAGAAACGACCACCTTCTTTTATAGTTCCCTTCCCGAGCTTCCGGTCCAGAGGTCTCGGTGTCTCCCCGCTTTTATCGTCGAGTATTCTATTTTTCAACAATATCGTACACCTATCACGAGAACAAAACCGTGTTTATGTGTTCTGGTCACACGATAAAACGGTACGGTTAACGAGCTACGTTTTCGACAGAGACTCTCTACCCGGATTACAAGTGAAACGTTTTACAGATACAACACGCAACGAGCAACGGTCAGCCTAGGAAACGGAAAACAAAGGGGACGAACAGGGGATCTTAATATCCACGAGAGAGAGGAAGAATTAGGGGAGATAGAGGAGAAAGAGAATTATTTACAATGGCTCTGTGTTGGCGATCATCCTCGTGCTTTTTTTTCCGTCGGTTTTCTAACTTTTCGCGGATGCTAGGTACAGAGTTGCGGTCAGGAAAATCGCGATGAAGAAGCAGAGCACATAGATTTCCGCGTAGAGATATAGAATAATACATCGAGGTGCTCGCGTTTCAGGGCATCGTTAGAGTTACATCGTTGTTTTGTCGATAGATCGAATCATGAAAACAGGGTTTATTTGATCGACAGACACCAGAAAAAAAAGGTGTCGAGGTAACTCGAATGACACCGTGGAACGCGAGTCTATAGGTAGTAGGATAAATATTTTCGTTGAAGCGACCCCGCAGATCGTGTTGTGCCGTACTACACGTGTCAGGTATATTAAGTATAGATTTAAGTCACCGAAAGATACTGTCACTCTGCTGTACAATCGTATTTTTCACCTGGTCACGGGCAGTCTGCGTGTGACACGTGGTCTCCTTTCTTGGAGCTCGTGAACCCCTTCTATAGAGAGTGAGTCAATAAGAAGTATTATCTAAAATAACTCGTTATTTCTTGGTTGTGTTAAAAAATGTTTTAAATGAATTACATTTGCATTTGAAGGGACTCGTCAGGTCGGTGCAATATGATTTTTTATATCTTGTATTTTCTGAGATATCAAGGTAACCTTGAGTTTTTTCAAGATCAGTGAAGTTTTTAGTTGGTGCTGCATTGTAGACGAATTCAACGACCTGTAATAGGATCTAGGGAAAAAAATTAATTGACCTTGAAAGAACTCTAGGTTACCCTTGATATTTCCGAAACTAGAATCAAATTGCATCCATTCGATGAGTCCCTTTAAGTGTATTTGATACGTTTTTGGATACAACAAATAAGTAACAAGTTATTTTAAATAATAGTTATTATTGACTCATCCTGTATATGATCGTTCGTCGGTTCTAAGTCCAATTAATGCGATTATATATTTTGTTACTTTTTCGTGTAGCAGATTTTACAATTTATGTTTTATCGAATCGTTCGATGATACCAGGAGACTACGCGACACGAGACCACGACGTCGTCGTCGCGACTTTCCAAAATACATCTGTCGGATATCGCGTTACTTCGTGTTTCTTGGTTCAGTCCTCAGGCCAAGGAACGTCTCTCGGACGTCGATCCCGTTTCTTCGATGCTTCCCCGGTGACCCAGCGACTGCGATCAGACTCCATTTCGATTACACTTGTTTTTGTGATTTTTTTAAAACAATTTTTCCGTCGGCTGCGTCACGATTGTGAAACTGACTTGCGAGACATCAAACCTTCAAACGATCAGCAAAACAAGATATCAAGCCGAGCGTGTTTCGAGGAACCAGGCACCTTCGAATCTTCGGATCAGTCTTTTGGCTACGATATTTTTCACCTAATCGAGTAGTGACTTTTTTTTATTATGAAATTCTGAAAATGGAGTGTCTTCGAGATATCGAGAATAGTAATTCGATGGTTAAATGGAATGTAATCGAATAAAACAGTTCTGGCTTGCTCGGATCAGTTTCAGAAGCGCGCGAGTCAAAGTATCGCCGTATGTACAATAAACGGATCGGTCGTCGTTGGGCAACCGGGGAGCTTCTTCAGCAAGACTGTGTTTGCTCCACGAAAGGTATACATCGTCGCTGTAGCTTGTCGAACCTGGTCCTCCTCTCCCCGTGGTTCTTGGTTCTCCGGAGAACGAGCCGGTTGTCGACCAGCGTGTTCCATGACCATCACCCGATCACCATTAGGCAGGATCGATCGTCCCGGACTGTTACCATTCGTAGTCGTGCTGATGGAAGGGATTGGTGCATGGTTGTTGAGCGTGTAAATGGGTCACTAGCGGCGGTGGTTTAATCAGGTCGAGATCCCCGCTGACCACTTCATTGTAGAGCTGGTAGAATACAAGAGATACCATGTCAGTGCATCTGACAGAACACAATACCGATGGGTTGTTCGGTTGTGTGGTTCGCAGGAGAATCGAAGCCGTGGAGAGACTAATAATCGACTCGAAAATACAAGGAAATAAAAAACACAGATCGTTCAGTATAGCCTTGCGTAGAAGTATTCGTTTTGGCGATCGCGAGAGGAACATTTTCCCCTCGCGGGGAACGTTCTTAATTTAGAACGGTTTTACTAAACCTGGAAGCTCCTACGGATATACTCGTCCTCGCCTTTCCCAGTCATACCGTAATTATATCCACCTCCGCCGCCGCCTCCACCGTTCAGAAATGGATTCGTCGGGTTCGTGGGACCTGCAACGAACACGCAACTTTAACTCCATGGATAATAATGGAAGTATAAAGGATTATCCTGGATGGTCAGTCAAATCGTGGTGAAGTGCCGTTGCTCAGACGAAGTCCAGGCACAGGAGCAAAAGGGTTTGACTGGTCGATGTCATCGCGCTGGGCCAATAAAGACAAGAATACCTACATGTGCCAACTATCCTTCTGTTGGATTGGAGACGGTGGGATCTCAGAAGGATATAACCAATTGGACTTGCATACTCTTCCACTGGACTTCTTATGAGCAACGCACTTTAACGATCAGGCGGTCACGACGCATATCGAGCAGCGAGTTTCAACGATCGCTCACCTCCGTTCGCACCAGGTACACCCAGGTTACCGCCTGCTGTTTGATAAGTGGCGCCGTAGCCCGAGTCCTGATTAGCCAGCTCGTGCAGACGAGTCGAGCTGAGGGCTCGGGGTATGGCGTTGCTCGGGACGCCGTGCGGCGCCAGATGCGTGGCCTCGGCCACCTGGTGAGGATCCTCCGTCTGCGGCAGATCCGAGACGAAACCTGTGTCCTTCCTATAGAAGTTGATGAATACGAAGCCGCCGAGAACCAGCAGGCAGCACAGTCCATACGCTCTGAACGTGGTGGTCGTTCCTGGAAAGTGTATCAACATCCTTGAAATAAATAATTCTTCGGATCAATGAAGCATCGTGGCCGTATCTGGGCTACCAGGGTAGCAATTTTCTGGTCTGCAGGGCCACTCACCGTAAGCATTGACGAACATTCCACCGATCACAGCGCCGCATCCCCTTCCTAGACCGTGATGGATACCTTGTAGAACACCCTGCGCGCTGGTGCGCAACTGTGGCGGTGTGTTATGGGCGATGTAGCTGCAGCAAGCGGCCCATACCGCGGCATGAGTGAAGCCCTGAATGAACTCGAACGGCAACACCCACCAGGGAGTGGAGAGCCAAGAGATGTACAAGAAACGAAGAACGTTTCCGGCCAGGCCCATGCACAACACCTGTTATCGACCGACGTGTTTTTGGATCGAGCAGAATTTATTTTCACAACTAGAAATTACCATTGGTAGGAAGTGTGGCGGTCGTACCTTGACGTGGCCGACCTGACGGATAAGCTTGAAGCTGAAGAAATAGGCGAATATCTCGGATATGTGATTGATCACCGAGGCAACACCGAACAGAGTGGGCGTGCCCCCGTAATCTTGAAGATGCCAGAAGAGGAAGGTGAATATCAGCCCGATACCGAAGCCCATGAACCAGGCCACGAAGAGGAAGGACGCGCACTTGAGATCCTTGAATTGCTTCAGCACCGTCACCCATTCGGGGATCTCGCGCATCGTTTGAGCAAACATTTTTGTCTGGAAGGATTCACAGATACCGTTAGGAATGATCTATATTTGCTACCTTAAATCTGTGAAGATTTGGTACCTTTCCCTCTGGAGGCTGAGGCTTCGGATTCACCGCTGCGGAGGAATCCTGTAGACTGGGTAGATTCAACTGCTGAGACAATTGACTCTGCAGCTGTTCCTCCCTGGTCGGTTCAGCCGGCGGTTTCAGCACCTCCTAAATACCAAGATACATAATTATCAGTTTCAGAAAAGCTTCTTTCAATGCAGCGCCACTCACCGGCTCCGACACGATGACATCGTATTTGAAGTTTATCTGCGTGGCTGTTATCAACGCTGCGCCCATGAGCACGCTGAAGATCGCGAAGCAGATTGTATAATTCTTCTCCCTTGCGTCTGGACCACAAGGATGATCCGTGAACGCGGTGCTGTGATCCAGAGCGATACCAACGAAGAACATAGCCAAGCCCCAGCCCAAGCTGCCGAACATTCGCTGATGACCGTACCTATATTAAAACAAAAGGACGTGAGTTCACTGGGAATAGTTCCGAGGTCAGTGTTTACAGAAAACGTTACCTATCCGCGTCTTCACCTAGCAGAGTGATCACAGCCGAGTCCGCCAGTGTGATTGCAGGCGCAGCGAAGAACTCTCCAACTATCACCAACAGCAGCAGGAGGAAGAAGGTCTTCTGAATGTCCTGGAAAAATCAATTATTCAATTGAGCAGTCGTGTTCGATTCAACAGTATCTGATCGTGAATCGAAATTTACAGATAATCTGTAGACAATGAAGCTGAACAGTGGCTTCACCCATCCCTTATTCTCCCTCTCGTTGTAGTTCGCGGCATAGGACACAGTGTGAGGACTCTGGCCAGAATGAGGCAGCCTGATATAGCGTCTAGTTCTAACCAATGGTACGTATTCTTGGTTCATCTCGGCAGCGTCGTCGTTCAATTCGTTCTCCTGTTCTTCCAAAAACATTAACTTACGGAGACCTTTAAGCGAGGATCGTCGTTGCTCGGTGAACATTGTATTTTTATCTCCTGAAGCTTCGTTCTTGGGACCAACGTCTCTCTTCACCATAATCTTCATCGGGGGCGGTTTCACTCGGGTCTTGGTGTGCGTGTACGCTTTTTTTGGCGGTTTTCCATCGTCCAATGGTTGATTCTGAAATAGAAACACTGTATAGATATTTGCACATGAATCGAACGCGACACACGAGACTTACATTAAGAAATCGTTTGTACTCGAGAATGTCGGCTGGACGGTTTTTCCTCTGCAGGGTCTCGAAGTCCACGGTTTTGGCTTCCGGATTGGTCTCTGTATCCTCGAACACCAACTGTTTGTACTTGAGGTCCTCCACTGGACTCTCCTCCGTCGTCGGTGCTTCCCTTCGTACTCTATTACTTGGGTAATCGTTGTTTTCTCGGTGATTCATGTTATTCTTCGTTCTGCCACTGATCTTTCGCAGCCTCTGTCTGATCGCTGGCTCGAGGGTGTCCTCGTCTTTTCGTAACCTCTCGAACACAACATTGTCCGCGACTTCGAGACACTCGTCGTCGTTCTGATGGTAGAACTCGTCCAGCTTGACGGACCTCTTCACGATCCTCTGGTCGGGACTGGCCGCCTCCAAGTATATTGTGTTGTTTCGCAGAACTATACAAGACGTGACCGGTGGTTGAATGAAGCCCAACGGTAGAGTGAAGATGATCCAGCAGGAGAGGGAGGCTAGAAGAATCGTTTTGCCCTTCTGCCATCTGTAAAAGGAAATCATTGTATGTGTCCCAGTTCCCCGGATAAATTGAGGCTGATGACGACCCTCTCTGTTCTTACGCGGACGGGGACACATTCCACCCTTGACTGGCTAAATCGATACCGGGCGGGAGCTCAACATTGGATAAAGCTTCAGTCATTCGGTTAATTCCTGTAATACCAGAATCTAAACGCAAGCAACAACCATACATACGTCTAACATTAACACTAGGAACTACCAAACCAGTCAAAATGACTGGTCAATACACTCTTACAACGACGATTTATGACTAGACTGTGGATTTTTATGCAAGATGATATTTTTGAAAATAATTTTTAAAGACAACAGCAAGGATAGGAATTTATTTCTTTTCTTAAATATCTTATTGGGTTCAAAATAAAGTAGAAAACACTTTACATCTGACGAAAGTTCTTTCTCTATTATATTACACAAAGCCCTATTGCTTATAAATGCATAAAATCCGCAGTCTAGTGATGACAAGATACGAGAGTGAAGAAATTAGTAAATTTCTAAATTTCTAAATTTTCAAAAGTTTTCCACGTTTATCGTCGGTAGTTCTGGTGTTAATACGTCTACCCAAAAAGACGCAAGAGTGATCACCAGCATGTTAACCCTGCACAGCAAGTAAAGGCGATCTACACCACCTACCAACTATCCTATCAACACATTATCATCATTTAATTTACCCAAAAATCCCTGGAGTGGACTACCTACAGGTGCCAAAAATGCACGGAACGCAAACTGGTTAAGAATCAATCCAAACGGATCTAACATATGTAGTAAATTGCAACCAAGTAAGGTGTCACTTTTTCCATCACCGAAGCATACTTCACCATAATTCCTCCATTCACTTGACACACGATTCACACCTAACAGAGCTTACCTGTCAGCCAACGATCCCCAGAAAGGCGCGCTGACGAACTCGATGAACGGTCTAAGCCCGATCAGGAGACCGCACTGTCCTGCGTTCATGCCCATTTGTTTGTAGTAGACCCCCATCAACGGGAACAGGGAACCGAACGCAGAGTAGAAGAAGAAGTAGAACGTCTTCACGGTAAGAAGTTCCTGATCGACGGACCCGAAGAGATACTCGATCACGTCGCTCTTGCCTCGGATCTTGTGGGTCGCCTCCTTCGGTTCTGGATACAAATTCGGGTCTACCTCGCCAGCGGCGTTCGGGTCCACCATGGGCCTGGCACCTGGCACCTGGGGCAACGATCTACCGGCGCCCTGTTGCGACATACCCTCCGCCGTCCCATAATCGTAATCCTCGTGTCCATAGTTCTGCATGACTCCGACCAAGGACAGATCTTGTTCTTCGACCTTCTGGCCTTTATCTTCCTCGAACGAGCCAACGGTGACCGAACTGTCTGATCTCCACGATCAGGAAACGGACCGATCCCCCGAATATCGGGCCAGATCCCCCGACGATCTACGTGCGTCAGAGAACACCACCAACCAGAACAGACGACGGATCCCTCTGTCTCTCGAACAGTGTGCCCCGTCTTTTCGAAATCGCCAGCTACAATCCTTTTAGACGACCAAGTCGAATCGATGGCCACACAACCGTCGTGGCACCTTTCGCCTCGCGAAATCGATAGTCCTGACAGTGCGCCCGCGCAACATCTACACCCCCGCGTGCACCCCCACTGAGCCTCCGTTCGAGTCTAGCGATGGCCGTTCCCCGATCTCTCCCTCTCGCGAGCGATTCGGTTCTTTTAGGGGTGAATTGGGGTTGGAACCTTGGAGAATGTCGACGAGTATAAAGACAGGCACATGGTGCTGTAAAGTTTTGAGAATTGAAATGAAATAGATTGATTTGTTCTAGGGTTGATACACGGAATCTTTCTGGAGCTGGAATCTTTGGAGGATTTATTGATACTTGGCCAGGAAATCAACAAGTTTTGATTCTACGGAAACTTACGTTTTAACACTGATGTCGGATGACGGTGTAGGTTTTTTCAAAAACAATATCTGAGACCAGTTGACGTAGGAGTATGTATTTCTTAAATGAAAGCTAGAATAATAAAAAATAGGGAAAAATCGCTTTTCCTATTATGCCAAGTTTGACTTCACTTGATGTGGGATGACGTTGCAGGTTTTTTCAAAAACAATATCTGAGACCAGTTGACGTAGGAGTATGTATTTCTTAAATAAAAGCTAGAATAATAAAAAATAGGGAAAAATCGCTTTTCCTATTATGTGAAGTTTGACGAATAAAAGTTAAGGAGTAGTTTCTGAATATTTTTAGGAGACCTGAAGTTGTATTATCTGCAAACGCAAAATCTTTCCGCCAGCAAAGTGTTAAAATTGTATTTTAAAGAGGTTCGAATCCATCGCTAGACTTCCCGCTTGTTTCCGATCCCACCCCGTTTTCATCCACTTCCTCCGCGACCCTCTTCCGTCTTTCGCGATGCTTGCGCAGTTGATCACACGACGGATATCCGCTCCTCGAGGGTCCGTGGGCAGATGTCATTTCCATGCATTCGCACCGTCGAGTTTCTTCTTGTCTTCTTATAGCACTTCTTCCACGCAACTGTTTGAATATCAAATGACGCTGTTAGTTACTGAAAAATATTTAGATAGAAATTTTATCGATCGTCCATATGCGGTTGAGTGATCAAGAAGCTGTCGCCTGACCGTCAAACATGAAAGGTTCCCCGAGTAGAATAGCCTCCAGACGCGTGTTTAGCGAAACCTTTACTGTGCTGGCGAACGACAGTGCGTTTGAATGTCGGGAGGCCTTGACCCGCATCGTAACCACCGTTCTTTTATCTTTAGCTAACAAGAAGCGTGCAAGACCTTCGGGTCACACCGATTTAATTGAGACTTTGAACACTGGTAGATATTCTCTCTACGAAAATACCCTATTACGGGGGGTCTGATATTTCATGTTTTTCGAGATACTTGTGATTGAAGTTCCAGTATTGCGTTTGAAGTACAGTTGAATCCAATTCGAGAGCGAGCTTCGCTTTGGCTCGAAGGTAGCGTGCTGGACTACCATCCCCGAGGGTCAGGGCTCGATTCCCTTCGCAACGTATAGGTTTTTTTTTTAAATTTTATATTTCCCTTGGGGAATGAAAGGAAATCAATTTTTAATCGAAATGGTTTCTATCTAGGATATAAATGTAATATAGTTATATTAAAATAATAATTACTATAGTAATATAGTTTATATTACATTTATATCGATGTAAGTTATCCAGGAGTTCTATCAACTCGTTAACAATTATTATCGCCTACAAGTGGAAGGTTTTAAGATTTCTCCAACGTAGGATATTACTCTCTTGTCTCAGAGTTAAGCAAGAAAAAATCATTTTTGGAACGAGTTAGCTCTCGATTTCGCGTAAAACATCTTTGGATCGTTGTCTGTCCAACGAATCTTCATTTCCTTGAACAATTTGCATTTTCCCCTCCCGAAACGATCTTCGACGAAACAGTGACGCATCCGGAACGACTATCAGCGTATCGCGCATGTAACATCTCGCAGCCACGGTGCCTGTGCGTGATTGCAGTTTTCTTTCGCTACCGTGATAAGACGGTGCTACGACCCAGAGGAGTTTAACAATTTAGAAAGCGATGGAAATGCAAGGCCTAGCTGTCAAACCAAGCATCTAGGTCCATTGGTGATGTTTACCAAAATAAACATCCCCTGCCAGAATCCTTTCCCACGATCTATAAAGATTAGACCAACAATTGTGAGATTAGACCAAATTACAATTTCGTAGAGGAGCATTTACGCCATGCAAGATTATAACATTACTGACGGTCCCTCGGCTATTGGACGATCCCTGATAAATCGTGGCAAAGAAAAAGCATAGTCAGCCAGTTGTATTGTTTACCCGTTATCCTCTTCAACGTTCGTTCCGAATAAAAGCATCTACGCTCTAAGTGCCTCAAATCGACTTGAACTTATTTTAAAGTTAAAGTATAAATTTCCCGGGGGAAGAAGGCGTGAGATAGCCGTCGAATCACGTGCACTTTCGATGGTTTGTTAAAGGGTATAGACTCGAAATTCGCGAGGATTGTTTCAGCCTATCGAATCAGGTCTGTCTGGAGTAGGAAGCTCTGTTGAAACCATTTATAAAGAAAATAAATATCGTCTTTATTCGACGGTCACGTTACTGGTGAACGTGCACAAATTACATTAGTCGACTTAAATTAGGTAATAACTATATGTACAAGTCTATCTTGATCGTTGTCCCCTGATGCAGTCAAGCCCCACCCACCCCACCCCGGTTTCTTTGGTTTAATTGTCATGCTGATTGCTTCTCTAATCGCGGCGATTGAAGACCGTGTTCGGTATAGGGTCGATGCGTGACCGACCCTGGAACGACGACGTGGCGGACGTCGAGGACGGCGCCGGTTTCGGCGGCCCTTGGAACATGCAGGTCTTGGCGGTCTTCAGGAGGCGACCGTTGTTCGCCGTTCGCCAGTAAACTGTGCGGACAGCCTGCTTGCCAGCGACGTAGCTCACTGCTCCACCGATCAGCATCTGGAATAAGATCAAAAGGAACGTTAATATCAGTGAAATGACCATCAATTACTAGTACATCAAAAACTGGGGGCAAATGTATTAAACCCCATGGTTGACTAATTGTACTTGTCTTTTAGGTCACCAGATTTTGGATTTGAATAGTGAACCCTCTGGAGTATAGCTGTTTGGAGGACTAGATCAATTATATGGCTATCAATTACAAGTACATCAAAAACTGGGGGCAAATGTAGAGGTATGAAACCCCATGGTTGACTAATTGGACTTGTCTTTTAGATGACCAGATTTTGGATTTGAATAGTGAACCCTCTGGAGTATGGAGGACTAGATCAATTATATGGCTATCAATTACAAGTACATCAAAAACTGGGGGCAAATGTAGAGGTATTAAACCCCATGGTTGACTAATTGGACTTATATTTTAGGTCACCAGACTTTGGATTTAAATAGTGAACCCATTGGAGTACAGGTGTTTAGAGGAGTAGACGAGAACGTTCGTTCCTAGGAAGGTATGGATGGTAGAGGATTGACTGGCAGAAATCGGACAAGATGTCACTGTCAAAGATGCTCACCTTTGTATACTGTAGTTAATGACTAGATCGTTCGAACGTAGAACCGAAAAACAGTTCTACGGTTGCGTGGTCGTAGTGTTGGTGTGTGCAGCGAGTGATAGGTGCTTCTGGCTCGCTCGTGTTGATGCGAGGCGAAATGCTGGACTGACGAAGAAACCTACCCGCGTGGATAATTTATACGATAAGCACGACGTCACGGGATCTCGCGATAAAAGCCTCGCTCGCGCGCGTCATTCACCGTGAATCCTCGAGCTCTGCGTACGCAACCCGTGTCCCGATGGTAGGGGGACAACGAGGAATTTTTTACGAATGGTCGAGTCGAGATTTAGATAAACATCGCTTCAGTCGGTCTTCTTTCAAACGGTCGACGCTTTCCCTAAACCCTATCGTTGCATCGTTATCGAGCGAATATGATAAACAAAACAGAAACTGTCGCGCAATTCGAGATTAGTCAACAGGTCAGACGGGGGACTTTGGCTACGCGAAATCGCCTGTAGCCAAGAGTATTGACCTTGTTCGTGATTACTGCGGATCTTTATGCGAATTCAGATTTTCATAGAGCTACCTAATGTAATTGAAATTATGTCAGTGATTTGTTTGCTTTATTAATACTAGATCACGAAAATTGTTACTGTATTTTTTTATAGCACATTCACATTAACGAGAATCGTGTAAAATCCGCAGTCTAGTGATTAGTATTACTACAACTTTCTTTTGGCAGGAGATTATCTTAATGGACCAGAGGTCACCAGAGAAGAATCGTGCCAAATATTCCCGGTACACACCCACAGAACCAATCGTTTACAGTAGAAAGTTTGACAGAGGCCTTGATCCAGCTTACTTTGTGCATGGAGTTATTACATTTTATATACCGTGAAAGACATACAACTTCTTCCTATTCCCGGTATCGTACCCGGCGTTGTCATTATTTGTCTCGATACCGTCGTTCTCTTTCTCCGTTAAATTGCCAAATCGCCATTTAATGCGACTCAATTGTGTTTTTCCTGCTCGCTCGCCGCGGTCAGGTAATCCGGAATCGATTCGATAAACACTGTTCAATCACGTGTAGACATTTCTCTTCTCTCCGCAATACTACAATGGACGTCGTGGAATATTTCTTACGGTTTTGGCGATATCGTTCGAGTCATTGAATAAATTTTCGTCGTGTGTTCGGAGCGCAGCTGATTCGCGCGCGCACGATGACACGCGGTTGAACGTTTTCCATCGTGAAAAAAAAATTGACTCCCTCGATAACATTTCCCATCTGACAGATGCACTTTGTTTCCGACGACAGTCCTCGCACAACACCCGCGTTCCCCGTTACGTTAGACACGTCATACGAGTAGTGCGTACTATGTACATATACGTATACTTCTCTTCCTGTATCCCATTCTCGACGACGGAGAATGCTTTGGCAATCGTCTGCCATTCTGTCTACACGAGGAAAACACGATCCAGCTACGTGTGCTACTTTCGCGAGCCCACAGATTCGTTAAGCTTTCGCCAAACAGGAATGCTTGCTAAAATTACCCGAGGTGACATAACGAAATAGGGAACATAATTTTCCGCGCCGAAAGTAGGCAAAAACGAAGGCCTCAGAGAGTTTAATACCTGAACAGGGTGAATATACAGTGGGATCTGCTGCAACGAACGAATGCTGTAGCAAACAGTTTTTATTATTACAGTCGACATGCTACAACGAACGAAGTAATCCATAAGAGATAAGAGGAAATATAGGAATTTCCTTCGCTTAATTATTTTATGGGATTGCTAATAAAATCGGTGGAAAAAAAAATTCGGTGCATCCAATGCAAGTTTTGTCTTATATTATATTTCACATACTCTAGACCTGTAATTGCAGAAAATTCAAAGTCTAGTAATAACACAATCATGAATAGTGTTAAAGCGTCAATTGTTATATTTTGCTATATTTTGTGAAATTACATACAATATTTCAATGTAAATGCTACAAGGAAGGAGGTTCTAGAATCAATAAATTCGTTGTAGCATACCCCACTGTAATTTCGAAGCTTAATCGTTCTTATCTAACGGCCACGCGCGGTGCACTCGAGTCTCACTAGTCTGTCGAATTACTAATTGGTCTAGATTACGAGGGTCGAATCACCTGATCAACGTGTGTAAAAATTCATATCGGCCACATCAGAGTATCGATTACGTGAGCAAAGTGGTGGTCCCCCATTTTTGTCGCGAAGTTTATTTTTACCTTATCCGACGATTATCGCTTAAAATCCGCGCACCCGCGATTTATCGATCGGCGTCCATCGACCAGTCGAGTGCAATATTATCGGTTAATTGTTGATACAGCCTATCGCGAGTATAATCTCGCGGGATGATCACAGTCGATTTATTTTTTGCTCGAGGAACCTCGGAAAATACCATGAACGGTCCACGTTCGATTTTCCATTTCGAATAAAAAAAAAAACAAATTCCATTTCGTCTCACAAGTGACCGATCTCGATTGTTACCCCCACGGAGGTCCCAGCGATTTGTCAACAAAAGTCTGTTTCGTAAATTCGTACATTTCCAACAAGAAATTGCGTCAGCATCCCAGATTCGTTTGCATAAATATTTACAAACGGAAGTTCTTAGAACCACAGGAATAACCCCTCCAACCATCTCCATGTACGCAGAATATGTTCATGAATTTAACAATTAATTCTCTAGAAATGAATTAAAAGATCAAGGTAGATGTAGATAGAACGAATGACCCAATGGAAAATTTCTCCAATTCCACGTTTCCAACGACACGTACATAAAATGCGCAATGCTCGTCGCAAGACGTCTCTCGATCCAGGGATTAAACGGCGATCGAGGTGAAATCCCTTCGCTGAATAAAATCGTCGCAGGTGATTGGGTAAAACGAAATAAAGCCCAACGTTTCCGTGATGATTACCCATTTTTCGCAATGTTATCTGGCCGGCTCAAGTGTTCCACGCGCCGAAGAAAGTTCCATTCGCGACGAGCGTGGAAAATTTGTCCATGCGATCGCGAGTTCATCTGGGGCGTACGGTCGTTGCGACGTTATTCGGGGACGCTCCTCGGGCGAAAAATGTCAGCGTTTCGTCACGAACGATCATTAAAAAACGCATAAACGGGAAGGAGAAGTGTCGTGTATGATTCACGTGAAACTTTCGTGTCGTCGCGAAGATGAGGCGAGCAGACGGCCGTGATCGCGATAGACGCGATTGTCGATCACGATAACAGTCCCCTTGTGTTTCCGTTGTCGATGATAAAAGACCAACCGCGATGATCTCCGATAAATTCGTCGGGTGATCACGATCATCGAGTCGACGCGAAATCGATGTCCGTTACGGAAATCAAACACTATCGACCCCAGACGGTGGTCGTTCTTCTGAGGCTGTTGTATATGAGTAAACGAAAATAATAACAAAACGACAATTGCGTCCGAGAGAAATTTCGTGAACGGTATATGTATATGCGCGAAAGGTGATAAGATTCGAGTGGTTCGCTGGGGGCATGGTCCTCTTTGGATTAGTCGGACGATACATTATCGTTATCGGTAACACGCGTCTCTTGAGAACGAGACTCTGGGTATCCCGTATTCGACAATCTAGACAAAGTTCAAGACGTTGGATTTCGGTGAATCGATGGACTATCGATGGTTCCAAAGTATAGGGAAATTCGTAGAATTGATTGTCATGTAAACGATCTGCGTGCAGATTGGCTGCAGGTGTAGACGAATCCATAGCCATATTTATTTCTGCATTTTACTTGGGTTCTGAAGGGAGAACAAGCAGATTAACGACAGATTGTTTATAGTAGATCCTGCATCAGATCTGTAGCCATTCTGGTTGCAAAAACTTATAACAGGTATTGGACAAAATCTGAGCAGGTTTAGTTGATTGGGTGGACAAGTGATGTAAGCGCGTGGAACGAAACAGGAAACCTCAGCTTAGTGTTAAGTGTCCGGAGCACAATAAAGTTCTATTGTCCCTGTAACTTTTATTTTCATTTACAGAACTTTTATTTTATCCTTTCTTTTATACATATAACATCTGGTTGAGTTGTCCCTGGCTTCCTAAATCCATTGAAGCCCCGTATCTTGATAACGAAAGATAGAGTTCCAATTATTTCCAGAACAAAGCTGATGACGCACCGTTATCATCAGGAATTACCCAGTCGCTCGTGTCCGTTATCAGAGAGGTCCCGATGTTACGTGAATCGAACCAAAGTTGTTCAGGCGGCAAGAACGCGTGGCTCGTGGTTCCAATGAACGTTCAGAATACAGCTGCGTGATCCGTTATCGCCTACACGCTGGTATGGCAACGCAAAACGGTGGGAACGAAGCGACAGACGCACTCGTTCGAGTCTGGTGCCTCAGAGTCTACCACTGGCTGCCTCTTTATCGCCTCCGGATGCTCTTTTATCTGGCACGATCGACTTGATCTCTTCCTTTCGCGATCAGAAGCTTCTACTGACACTTCACGTTTTAGAACGTTCCAAGTCCCTTGATCCGAGGGCTAGAATCGAAGGGAAAGTAAATATAGGGTTTCCAGTTTAAGTGTGACTCTCGAGTATCTTTTGTAATTGTGAAAACATTAAATAATTTCACCTGTAATTAGTGAACAGTAACCTTCGACGTTGTCAGAGATTATAGGTCATTTCTCGACCTCCTTGTAGTCTTCGATCAAATTCCCCACGTTGTCCCGAGCATCCTGAAAAACACTCTCCTCCATACCTTCTTCCAAATAGTGATGCACGAACGCCTTTTTCTGGTACATCGAATCGAATTTCCTTGCGAGCGTCTCCCAGGTGTATCGAATAGCTGTATTATTGCTGAGCATCGCCACCGTTTGCCTCGAGTTCGCTAGATCACCGCCGGGAAGCGTAGTGGTGGGTTGTGGATTGATTCCCACCTGTGGAGCGCGATCGTTTTAGGCATTATTTGGATCCTGGTTGAATCGACTATAACTTAATTCGTTTTCTTCGCTGGTAGATTTGAAAAAAAAAATGGAATACAGCGATAAAGTATTTGTTTTCATAACAAAGATTTATGATGACCACAGACGTCTAGACCTTTACATAATAAATGTTGCTCGATCGTCATCGACTGGCGATATCGCTGCATCATGTTTAATAACAATCGCGTAATCGACGGGATCGTTTGGTAACAATACAGAAGGAGGTACCTTGAACCCGGTCGGACTCCAACTAACGAACCGAATGGACTTTTTCCCCTTCAGCGACGCGATCGCCCTGTTGACGTCAATGGGACTCACATCGCCACGGTAGAGCAAGCAGCAGCTCATGTACGCACCGGTTTGTGGATCGCATTTTAACATCTAAAACACGAGTCACATCGAGGAAACTGATATTACTATCTTCGACAGCTATTCTTTCATGGGCAGACCTGATTGTAAGGCTCGAAACACTCGTTCGTGATCTGCTTAGTCGTGATCTCCGAGTGGAAGGCTTTTTTCGGGCTTATCAACGGGGAATACGTGGCCAGGGAGTAGTGAATCCTTGGAAACGGCACCAGATTCGTTTGTAGCTCTTGCAGGCTCACGTTTACCGCTCCCTCGAACCTCATTGAGGCCGTGATGCTCGAGATTACCTGGGCTAGGATTCTATTCAGGTTCGTGTAAGTCGGTTCTTCCACGTCCAAATTCCTGTGTACAGTATCGCTTGGTAAACATGTGTATAAGAACCTTCAGTTTTTTAAAGGGCTATCAACGAACCTTCCGCAGATGTCGTAAAGGGCCTCGTTATCGACAAGAAAGCAGCAGTCCACGTGATCCAGGCTACCATAAGTGGCTAGCACAGCGTTGTAAGGTTCAACAATGACCGCGGAAATATTCGGAGCCGAGCAGATAGCAAAATCTATCGCGATCTTCTTCGGGAAGTATTCGGTTAACCGTTCCAGCAAAAGGGTACCAAAACCACCCCCTGTACCGCCATTCAGTGACCTTGAAAATGGAATAGCATTAAAGGGTGAGCTTCTCGATTGTTTCTCGGCCAGTTAACGTTTCGTTCGTTTACCTAAACACGATGAAGCCAGTTGGTTTCGAGCATTTCTCCCATTCTTTACAAACACGACTCATGACCAGATCGATCGCCTCGCGGCCGGTCGAGTAATAGCCGATCGCGAAGTTGTTCGCCGCATCCTCTTTCCCGCTGATCAGGGACTGCGGGCAGAATAGTTTTCTGTACGCGCCGGTTCGAATCTCGTCGATCGCCGTCGGTTCCAAATCGACGATTATCGTACGCGGGGACATTTTCGTCTGGAAAATTTATCGTGTATAATCATAGAATTTCCACTCTGGCGATGATACGTCCGCGCGTGGTATGTCCTCGTTTACTCACGTTTGCCTGCGAAAAGAACGAGCAAACGGTGGTGTCCTGCGGCCGATAGCAGGCACGAAGACAGCCGTTCGGTAGCAAGCCATGCTCCAGGCAGAAAAGCTCCCAGCAGGCGTTCGCCAGTTGCGTTCCAGCCTGTCCCACGAAAATAGTTATTATCTCACCTGATTGCTCCATCGTTCAACGATGATTGCCTCCCAGCCACGAGTTTCCCGTTGATTATCATTTGCAACGTGTTGACAGAACCGACCATTTCATCGAGCACGCGAATCTCGCGTCGAGTTTTACACCAAAGATTTTGTTGTTACTTTTTTTCCATATTTTCCTGTTTATCGTTCACCGAGTCATTTTTTATAATGCGTTTATCAGGTCCATTGTAGGTTTTGTTGTTGGCTCTGAACGTGTTCGTTTATCGGAGAGAGTGTCAAGTTTACTCTTTTTGTTTTCTTTTGACACACTGATAAAGTCCGTGGGGGTCAGCGTAATCGTCGAGTTTACCCGAAGTTACTTTTCGGATGTCTGTTCTGTTCACCAGGTGAACTTAAGAAGAAAGAAACTAGGTTTTAGTAGATATTTTATTGAGCAACATTACATAATATACAATAAAGTTTTCCAAAGTTTTCGTACGTATCGTAACATTTAAACGAATCAAGCAACACGTAATTATACAATAGGGGAGGTGACGATCTCAACAACGGTTACACACACACTTGCACTTGCACTTGCTTATGTACTATTATTTGTATCTGCCTAAATGAGAATATCCAAGTGGCAGTATTTCGATCCGTGAATCACCAGTTTCTTTTTTTTTCGTAGTGCACGCACGTAGACACGGAACTCTTAGAAGTTTCGCTCTTGCAAACAGGGGAATACATGTAGCTACAATAATACCTATAGATGATATGTATTTTGATCCCTCTGAATAGCATCGAAGTAAATATAAGTACTAGACTTGTTTATAATTAATTACGCTGTAGTAACATACAATCCTGTATTTGTACGATAGAAAACGGTGATTGTTGTACACTTGAACATTATAATTCTATACGTAGAGATCGATACTGGAACAATTCCTGCATTAATTTTGTACTGTTTTGTGGTTACGGTTTGATTTTACAGACAGTATTGGTATCTTGCGTGTCATGGAAGATTCGACTGAAAACAACGAACCGTTACGTAACATTTTACGTAGACGTGAAGTCGAAAAGGGGCATCTCGAGCGGAGTTAAAGGTGGCAAGGGCGCGAGACGCAAGGAATGCGGATTATCTAATCGGGTGTCGTCGTTAGGACTGACGGACGCAGCGTGTAGTTGCTCTGTCAGCTGGCGCACCTCCTCCTCCTTGGCCTCTAACTGACTTAGCAAGCTGCCAACCAAACAGCGCAATTGACAATTCACAGTTTTCAGTTCCTCGATAACCGTACCGGTGTCTTTCGGATGCTTGAACGCTTTATCCTCGTTATTTGGTAATGAAATTAAGCCTAAAAGACTATCTTGCTCTTCAATTGTCCTATATATAGCTTGACGCAGAGATCCATCAAATTTATCGACTGGTAGTTCAGTTGTGTCCTTCTCCAACTGCTTGGGTGCTTGTTTACTGAGAATTTCTTTTTGTTGATTTTCCAGTGTAGCTTTGTATTCCTCGTATTGTGCTTGTTTCATTCTGAGAAGCATATTCATCTGTATTCAGTGTCGTACAATTCCCAGACTGATTGGAAAACGAGTTATCGCTTACCTAACTACAGCAGCTTGTCTTTTGTGATAGTCCCGTTGGAGCGCAAGAGACTCTACAGTGACCAGAGAATTAAAAGAGGTAATCACAGTTGGAGGAGTTTGACTAGATAAGCTGGAGGTCTTCAAGTGAACGTAGTTGGACTCGAGTTGAGCATGGGCTTCTCCTAACAGGCTGGCCACTGTTTCATGACACTTGGCTGCTTCCTCGAACCGTCCTTCTTGCAATAATGCTTCTGCTCTCCTCTGTCTTTCGTGTGCCTTCAATAGAGAAAGGTATTACACGTCAACGTTTCTAAGAAAAACAAGAACCACAGACTGCACACAATTATTCTTAAAGCAACAAAAAGAACGGAAAATTAACAAGTGACACTCAACGGTTTGATGTTGAGACGACGTAGCGCGCACAGTTGCATGTTTTTGTAGAATCGTATCAAATTGGCTTGCGCAAACAAGTACCGTGAACAATGACGAATGATCGTAATATGCATAAATTACCAACACATCGAACACTGAACAAATTCTTAGTCACGCAGGCCGATAAAAGGCTCGACAAATCGGGACGTCCACTTACCGCGTTCAGGATTGAAGTCTCCATGGCTGATCAGCTGATCAAATGACAGAACGAAAACAGAGAGGCAACATGTGGGTTATTTTCTGCGATCGTAGATTAACGACGAATGTACCGATCGAGCTCATCTTCGATCATAATTTCATAGAATTTGCTGTTTCAGAATCGCTAATTTATACAGTATAAATTTTACGTTTTTCCACGATACTGCGTGATTATTAACATTCCGATGATGTCATACTAATACGAGAAGTTCATTACAGAAACACAGCAGTATTATGTTATGCATAAAATGCACACTGGGTGTTTCCTAAATTTACATCATATTAAAGATTGAAAAACATTGTTTTCATGTAAGATAATTTATTTATTAGTGTGGTATCAGAGTTATACAAATATATCCATTTGTTTGTTTCATAAGTTAATGCTGCCATCTAGCCGTAAGTCAGAACAATATACGTGATTTCCTGATGGTATGCAACCCACTGTACTGCTGTTTTCCAAGTAGCCTATTAATGTATGTATAATAATTTAATAGATTCCTAGTCTCTAATTAAACACAGATATTGAAGAAGGCATCGTATAATGTTCTGAAAATTGTATCAATTAACGTACGCTGTTAAGAATTCTAATATCACAAAGATCTATAGATTTCCCCGGGGATAAACACCGCGTGTTGCATGCAATAAGGGGTTATCTTAGTTCATACATACTGCTGCTAGATGGCTATACCATTTCCTGGTCCATTGCTGCGCTCAGCTGCGCTAAGGATGTTCAATTCGGAGGATGAAACTGTGTTTGGCCTTTATTCTGTTTCTTTAACTAAAAGTACAACTATATTCCTTACTATTTCATTTAATGTGCACTAAAGTAAGGCGACTATGGAGAAACATCATATGTAGTTTTTGTCGAATCGAGGGTAAGATGTTTAACACATTACGAAACCGTGAGAACATAACCTGATGAGCATCGAGTTATCGATAACACCGATGACAGGGATAACGATCGTTAACGAGTTTTACACGCGCGTTACGAGAAAACATTATTGGACTCTGAAACGACTTTGCAATCACGGAGACGTGGTGTCACGAGAGTCGAAAAGGAATTGCGCGTGGGCGTGAAGCGATGCCTTTATAGGAATACGAGAATCAACGTGGAAACTTAATTATTCGGGTTATCAGGCGAGTGTATGCGTGTTAGAAAATAACGTTGACCTCATCTCCACCGACGAGACAGAAAAAGTGTTTCGAGCTCACCGATTTAAGTCGAATCCGCGACGTATCGAGACATCTGATTTTCAACGGTCATCGTTTCCATTCGATCCGTGATGTGAGTGAATATTCATGTTAAAAATATTTTTAAAAAAAAGAAAAAAAAAAGGCCACGACAGAACTAGGGTGACCTGTATCGTTTGAATTCAAGTAGGCGTAGCCTTATCCACTCGAGCAATTAATCTCCGTTCGATCGTGAAAAAAAAACACGAATTTTTACCCTGTTGACGATGAATAAGTCCGCATGAATTTTGCATCGATCACGATGCAAAATTTCCAGCTTACTTATTAAACGAATCTGAAGGTTGGGATTGAATCGTGTCGAGTTTTTACACTGGACCGACATAAATTAGTGAGATCCTCCCGTTTGTTTCCTCACCGCATCAAACCAAATTAGCGCCCGATTAGTGAGGGGTACCTTTTGCCGGCTGAAAAAAAAATTCTCACGGTCCACGGCCCCGGTATCCATCGCGAGGAAGTCGGTGAGAAAGTAAAGAAAGGAATGCTCGAGGTATTAATTCCGACGAACCCTGGTTAAGTAACGACTCATGAAATCCACTCTGTACCAGCTTTAAGATCAGGCAACGAATTCTACGCGTACGCCGCCACGGCAGAAACTGATTAATGGTGTGCGCGCTTTTCTGAATCCTAATCCTGTCGGTTCCCCGACGATCCTGCAGTGTTCTGCTGTGTTATATAACGCAACGTGTACAGGGTGATTCAGTTATTCCTACCATTTTCATACAAAGATCAATTGTTTCAAGTAACACAGTGACTCACACATTTGTTCACAGACATCTGAAATAAGAGTCAAAATTAATTGTAAGGTTATGAAAATGTAGTATCTCACCTGATTGGTAGAGGACGTAATTTCGAATCGCCGACATCTTTCTTCCTTTTTTTCTACCCAATTTTCGGGAAAAAGTTGCTTCGAAACGAACAGGATTGAATATTCTAATTCCCAATGATATGATAAAAAAAAATCGTGGATACATTTTCGATTATCGGATGGGACACCCTGTACATGGGTGCCGGACGGTAATAGGTTAGCGTCGGTGTTACGCAACGCACCGTGTATAATCCTAGATTACGGCAAATTACATTTTTGCCCCTTGGTGCACTTCCATCCGAATCATATATGGAGGCGCTACCCTATCGGATAGCCATCGGGCGCGAGAGAGCGATCTGGCATGCGCGCGGCCGTTCTCGTGAATGGGCACGGCCCCGGCGTGGACCAAGCGGCGGCGGCCGTATGAATGAAATAGTAAATATAATTGACAGAAGGGCAGGCGTGGGCAGGCCAGTCAGAACAGGCGAGCAGAAACAGGCGGAACGAGGTGCAAGACGGGAACGGCGTTTTATACGCGGCAGGCGTAGGATCGAGGTCATCACCTTTCTATCATCCGAAGAGCCTAGATAGCATTTTTCCCCTCTCTTGTATGATTTTTTCTCTCTCTTGCTTTTTTTTCAGAGTGTTTCGTCAGTGGCTCTTGTCAACGGCCTTGCTCGATTCGGTATCCGGTGCCCTTCGCCACTTCCGAACACAGAAGCTACCCTTCATAGGAAAATGTGACGACCGTATCCTAATTGCCTTTTTTGGCGATCGTTGGATAGAATATTCTATGCCAAAGGTACATTGTTTCATCTTATAATACGAATGTAAATGAATAGCTAAGACATTTTTCGAACACTTCCAGTAATAGTATCGTTTACAGGTATCCAAATCGGAACCGATAGAGCTGACAGTCACGCGGGCACACACAGCTGCAAATTGCTCATTTACCCACACCAGGAGGCCCTCTTCCCTCTCCCCCCGCTCGGAGCCAACTTTCACGCGAGAGCCAATCGACGGATAGGCCATGAAACTTCGGTCCTTTTACAGTGACCCTAGATCGTAGATTCATCAACGACAAGTCTCATTGGTCCCCATCGCGTCGGTTTGGCTCTGGATGTCGTAATCATTGGCGACCAATTCGGTGGATTGTTTCCGGAAACTTGGAACGCTATCCAGGCTTCTCCACTTGGATGAACGTATACATATAGGCAGGTTGCGTTAAGTAGGAATCCCTGTAGATCCCTTGCAACGTCGATGCTTTACGGGACGACGAGGACAGATCCGCCCTCGGCCGTCGGGTACTGGCTGGAGAACGTTGAAGGAGAGCTGCGCCAGTTCTCTCGGCCGGTCCGCTGGCTTTTCTCCTCCCCTCCTCTTCCCCCGCCGCTGGAGCGGCCCCCCTTCCCCGTGGAGTCGTCGAGTGACGACCAAAGACGGTAGGAAGGTACGGTTTCCGGTCGCCCACGCGACAACCTAGCCAGAGCTCTCTCGCGTCAGGCAACGGCGTTGTGAAAATCCTCTCGATTCAGGTGTCCGGATAGCGCTCACGGAGTGGTAAAACCTGGCGCAACACCCTGGCCGTCGTGGTGGGGGATGGAGCACACGTTACGGTGTGTCAGGATGGAGAACAATTTGTGGATTTCTTTTCCTGCGAGAATTGTGTGTCCCTTTGACCCGTCCCTGGTGGTAGATGTCCTGCGTCTGTTGGGCTCCGTTTATTTGTGGACAATAAACGAAAGAGACATGTTTCAAGGGGGACCCGAGAGAATACAGTAAATATTAGGATCTAAGAATCATCGTCTTCGAGTTGGAGCTGTAAGTAAAGATTCATCAAATTTAAGACGTCAGTTTGATTAGATTGATTGGTCTAATTGGGGTCATCTGTTGCAGGGGGTGATGCTTCGGAGCTCTGTATCCTGCTTGGACCAATAGACGCCCGATGCTTGTCTTCAAGGAGTGATAAATGGTAATTAGTTTTCCGTTTCTCTAGACGTTTTTCAGGTCGATATTGTCCGACTAATAATTATGTTCGACGGTTAAACGAGTCTCACGAACAGAGGCAACCCGCTAGGGGTTGATTCGAGTCATTGTGATCGAACGGCTTTTCGCCTGGCGGGTCGCGCGACGGGACGCACGATTAATGATACGTTTCATTACTAATTTTCGTTTATTGTCGATACGAGAAAAAATCGATTATCCGTGCGAGTTCCAGAGTGCCATTAGTTAAGATCGGAATAAATTTCGGGTGAAAGTGGTCTAGGGCAACGGCGCGCGATGGTCGATCGATCCTGTCGGTGATAAATTTACCTGTCAATTAAGCTCATTTCAGCTTTCGGCCACGGTCGAATGAAATTACCGGGCCACTGACGTCCGACGGGCGTAATTAAAATCACGTGGCAACCCGATTCGTTTGTAAACAAATCGATCGACCGTAGGCTCGATTGCATCATCACATGGTTGCATACAACGATAAACGCGGCACGATGTTGTTATAGCTGTTCAGATGTGTTTATAGTTACTGTAATGGAGCAACGAAGTCATTATTATCGAGTATCCAGTCAATCCTGCATAACAAGATGCTTAACATCTCTATTCGTATGTCAGCAAAATCTGTCCAGAGGCTTTTTACCATACTTCCCGATAACCTAAAAGGTTGAAATTTGGCATGAATTTCCCAAAGATGCCGTAAAAACTCTCAACCTTGGAATATTCGACAATAGGGGATAGTACCTGAAAGTTCATTTTCACTATAAAAAATCGGTATTTGTTTCTTGGGTTTTTTTCTGTGGTACCACAAAACAGACTTGAAATTTCTCCCGTTTCGCTTAGCGTGACGCCGCAACATACATCTTTTCTCGTTCCTTTCTTTTTTCTCTCCCTTTTCTCGCTTTCTGTTTTCCTCTCTTTCTCCCAGCGCTCTATCTTC